TTTGCCGAAACCGGTTTGGCTCAGTGGATAGAGCGTCAGCCTGCGGACTGAAAGGTCCCAGGTTTGATTCTGGTCAAGGGCATGTACCTGGGTTGCGGGCACATCCCCAGCAGGAGATGTGCAGGAGGCGGCTGATCGATGTTTCTCTCTCATCGATGTTTCTAACTCTCTCTCTCTCTCTCCCTTCCTCTCTGTAAAAAATCAATAATAAAATATATTTAAAAAAAAAATAGCTTTTATTTTGGCAGTATTCTAACTGAATTCTGGTGGCATTGACAAAATTCACTGAGTACAGATGACTTCATAGGGATTAACTCATTTAGGCTAGTTATTATCCATTTTACTCTTAGTTCCAATAGAACTACTGAAACCTCATGACTTTTTTAAAAATATATTTTATTGATTTTTTACAGAGAGGAAGGGAGAGGGATAGAGTTAGAAACATCATGAGAGAGAAACATCAATCTGCTGCCTCCAGCACACCCCCCACTGGGGATGTACCCGCAACCAAGGTACATGCTTTTGATCAGAATCGAACCTGGGACCCTCAAGTCCTCAGGCCGACGCTCTACCCACTGAGCAAAACCGGCTAGGGCATGACTTTTTTTAAAATGTTTTTATTGATTTCTAGGGAGAAGAAGAGAGAAGGTTAGAGAGATAGAAACATTGCTGAGAGAGAAACATCATCGATAGGCTGCCTCCTACACTCCCCATACTGGGGATCGAGCCCACAGCCCAGGCATGTGCCCTGACCAGGAATCAAACCAGTGACCTCTTGGTTCCTGGGTCAATGCTCAACCATTGAGCCATACCTGTCAGGCCTTCATGACTTCTTGTAGGAGCCTTTAACCAGTTAGCTTGATGGGATAGCACTATGTAACACCAATCAGCAAGTATTTACTCCATGCTTTCTATGTACATGAAACTGGATAAAAGCCGCTGGTTAGAGCATCGTCCAATAAACCAAAGTTGTGGGTTTGATCCCTGGTAAGGGCATATACAGGAACCAACCATTGAATGCATAAATAAAAACAAATCGATGTTTCTATCCCTTCCCCTCTCTCAGGTCAATCAATACATTTTTTATATTAAAAAAACAAAACTAAACTAAAACCCTGTCTCTTCCTAAAGGAACTTAAAATCCCTTTGAGAAAATAAATTTGAGCCATAAAAATTAAGCAAGCTTTTAACATCACAAAAAGAGAGACAACCAGCTACGTTTTTCTTAACAAATGAACACAACAAAACTATCAAATAGTCTTGCTTAAAAAAATTGAACCTGAATCTGCTCCAGCCTCTAAATCTAACTTTCAGTTTGTAGGAAATAGAGTTGACAGAGGAACATCACAGGTATATAGCCAGCAAACGCAGGGAAATTCTACAGAAGAAATGATCTGATTTCCCACAAATAAATTACAAATTTATTTTTTTCTTTTTTTATTATTATTTTTTTTAAATATATTTTATTGATTTTCCACAGAGAGGAAGGGAGAGAGATAGAGAGTTAGAAACATCGATGAGAGAGAAACATCGATCAGCTGCCTCCTGCACATCTACTGGGGATATGCCCGCAACCCAGGCACATGCCCCTGACCGGAATCGAACCTGGGACCCTTCAGTCCGCAGGCCGACGCTCTATCCACTGAGCCAAACCGGTCTCGGCATAAATTACAAATTTAAAAGAGACTTGCGCCCAGCCGGTGTGGCTCAGTGGTTGAGCATTGATCTATGAAACAGGAGGTCACAGTTTGATTCCTGGGCCAGGCAAATGCGTGGGTTGCAGGCTCGATCCCCAATAGGGTGTGCAGGAGGCAGCTGATCGATGATTCTCTCTCATCATTGATGTTTCTATCTATCTCTCCCTATCCCTTCCTCTCTGAAACCAATAAAAATATATTTTTAAAAAGAGACTGGCCCTAACCAGTGTGGCTCAGTGGATAGAGCGTCGGCCTGCGAACTCAAGGGTCCCGGGTTCGATTCTGGTCAGGGGCATGTGCCTTGGTTGCAGGCACATACCTAGTAGGGAGTATGCAGGAGGCAGCTGGTCGATGTTTCTCTCTCATTGATGTTTCTAACTCTCTATCCCTCACCCTTCTCTGTAAAAAAATCAATAAAATATATTTTAAAATAATAATAATTTTTTAAAAAGAGAGAGAGAGACTTGGGATGGTAAACACACAATACAGTTTACAGATGATGTGTTGTGGAATTGTATGCCTGAAACCTGTATAATTTTGTTAACCAGTGTCACCTCAATAAATTCAATAAAAGTTTAAAAAGTGAAAATGAAGGAGAGCATAAGAGGGAACTTAAATTGAATACTGAGAAGATATTTAATGATACTGATATCATTAAATTAAATTTTAATCAGTAGGATAATGGTTTTGTGATTTGGGTTTATGAAGGATCGTTATCTTTTAGACATACATGCTTAAATATTTACATATTGAAATACATATATGATGTCTGGTGTTTAACTCAAAATAATTTGAGAATTGAGAGGGGGAAGTATGGTATAGGTCCGTGGTCGGCAAACTGCGGCTCCCGAGCCACATGCGGCTCTTTGGCCCCTTGAGTGTGGCTCTTCCTAAGCCTTAGGAGTACCCTAATTAAGTTAATAACAGTGTACCTACCTATATAGTTTAAGTTTTAAAAATTTGGCTCTCAAAAGAAATTTCAATCGTTGTACTGTTGATTTTTGGCTCTGTTGACTAATGAGTTTGCCGACCACTGGTATAGGTGAAACAAAAGTGGCCAGGAGTTATTTGTTTAAGCTAGATGATGCTTGTTAGCTGTGTAAGTTACTCAACCTGGCCAAGCCCTAATTTCCTTATTTGTAACATGAGGGCTATATTACCTTATAGGATTATTGTAAGAAAATAAATAAGTGCAAATAACATATCTAGCACAGTACCCGCTATAGTAAGTGCTTAAGAACTGGAAGCCTTGCCCTGGCCAGTGTGGCTCAGTTGGTTGGATGTCATCCTGTGCACCAGGAGGTTGCCAGTTCGATTCCCAGTCAAGGGCACATGCCGGGGTTGTATGGGTTTGAGGCACTTTCGGGAGGTAACTGATCGATGTTTCTCTCTCACATTGATGTTTCTCTCTCTCTTTCTCTCTCTCTCTCTTCCTCCCCCTTCCACTCTAAAATCAAGAAAAAAAAATTTTTAAAGAAATCTATATCCCTCACTACAAAGACAAATTGTGTAGCTAGCCTATCAATATGCTTAGAGATAGGGTCCTCCCCCCCGGCCCCCCCACACACACACAAAGAGAAACAACTTTCTATCAGAAGATTGCTGAATTGCAACAAAAAGTTCAACTCTGCCTTTAAGAAACAATTATACTACACAGCACCTATCCCTGGTTTCACTTTCCATGATTTCAGTTAACCAACCGTGGTCCCAAAATACCAAGTGGAAAATTCCAGAAAACCAACAATTCATGTTTTAAAGGTTGCATTATCCTGCTGCATCCATTGGGATGTGAATCTTCCCTTTGTCCAGTGTATGTATCTTCATTGTTAGTCACTTAGCTGGCTGAGTTTTTGAGATATCGCAGTAACCTTCATTTTACTTAATAATGGTCCCAAAACATAAAGAGTAGTGATGCTGGCAATTTGGATATTCTAAACAGAAGCTATAAAGTACTTCGTTTAAGTGAGAAGGTGAATATGGCACAATAAAATATTTTGAGAGACAGACCACATTCACATAACTTTTATTACAGTATATTATTATAATTGTTTTATTAGTTGTTTATCTTTTTCTGTCACTAATTTATACATTAAATTCATAGGTATGTATATATAGGGGAAAAACATAGTATACATAGGGCTAGATTCCAGTAGGGGGCACGCAGGAGGCAGCCAATCATGTTGTGCCTTCGATGTTTCTCTTCTCTTCCCTCTTCCTTCATCTCTCTCTAAAAATCAATAAACTATTCTTTAAAAAAAAAAAAAAGAAAAAGGAAGCCTTTGCTATAAACAGTTGAATACCAATGTTTGACCCTTGGCATATATGGTGAGTTTTCTTTGAAAGAGGGAACATAAAATTAATTATTAAAACCTAGATTCTGCCCTAGCTGGTTTGGCTCAGTGGATAGAGCATCAGCCTGCGGACTAAAGGGTCCCAGGTTCGATTCAGGTCAAGGGCACATGCCCAGGTTGCAGGCTCAATCCCCAGTAGGGGAGGTAGCTGACCAATGCTTCTCTCTCATTGATGTTTTTATCTCTCCCTCTCCTTCCTCTCTGAAATTAATAAAAATCTTACCTAATAATAGACAAACATGTAAATTAACCGTTCCTCCACTACGCTCACCAGCCAATCAGGAGAGTATGCAAATTAGCCCAACAAAGATGGCTGTTAACTTGCATACGTGCAGGCAAAGTGGCGGAGCGAAGACCAAAGGCTCCATCCTGACCGAAGGCCTGGGTCCCGGGTGCCGGAGGAAAACCAGTGCCATCAGTCAGGGGAAGGGAAGGCCTATTGCACGAATCTCTTCGTGCAATGGGCCTCTAGTATATTTAAAGAATAAAATCTAGTTTCTTAGCACATTCATTGAGGGCAAAGTCATAGAGGGAAAGAACATGATTAAATATATATGGGTTCACAATATGACTGGCATTTAACTGAATGCTCTGAGCTTCAGTTTCCTCATCTGTAAAATGGAGGTCATTACATACATGGTGGAATTGTAAAAATTGGGAATAATGTTTTAATGTAGCAGTCGCCAACCTTTCAGACTTTGCGAACCACCAGTTGGCAACTGCTGTTTTAATGTGTCTAGAGTAGTATGAGTGAATAATCTAGTGCAGTGCCTGGGTCATAGTTATTCAGTTAAATCGTTATTGTTGTTATACTCAGTATATAATCACTCAGCATGTAACCATCAACCCAAATAGCCTGATCCTGGGCTATATGGAGGACAAATAGCATTCCTGCCTAATTCTTTGTTGATAATTTTTTTTTCCTTCTCCATTTTCCTCTTCTCCCCTTCAGTTGATTTACGAAGATTGTATGGATCTGATCGCAAAGCTACCTTGTGTTGCTGCAAAGATCTACCGGAATCTGTACCGGGAGGGCAGCAGTATTGGGGCCATTGACTCTAAGCTGGACTGGTCCCACAATTTCACCAACATGTTAGGCTATACTGATGCTCAGTTTACTGAGCTCATGCGCTTGTACCTCACCATTCACAGGTGAGCTAGACCCAGCAACCATAGCCTGGATTAGTGGGAAATTTTAAGAAAAGCTCCTTAAAGGTCTCCTCATCTGGGAATGGGCAATAGGCAGCACAGTGATGGGAAAATGGTATAAGGGATGATACAAGGCAAGAAAGGGATCTAGTAAAGAAGGTTAAGAGGAGTAAGGAAGAACAAGATAGTGCTTCTAGCTGAGAAAGGTACTAGCTGCTCACATTAGGTTTTTCTCTAGCTTTCCAGGAGCTCCCTCTTCTGGCCATTGCTATTAAACCTGGAGTGAGAGCCAGGGAGCTTGGCACACAGGCATCATCAACCAGTACACAAAGGCGGGTAATGAGCTTGGGACATCTTTTACAAGAGCTTATGTGTAACTGGCTGGCTACAGGCTGGTGTACGCCCATAACTAGGCTAGTATATGACAATTAAGAACAACAAGGTCTGTGTTTCCATATCTGACCCTTTTTTCCCTTTTCTTGGCCTTGACTCTCTTATTTCTCCACAGTGACCATGAAGGTGGCAATGTAAGTGCCCATACCAGCCACTTAGTTGGCAGTGCCCTTTCAGACCCCTACCTGTCCTTTGCAGCAGCTATGAATGGTCTGGCAGGGCCCCTACATGGATTGGCAAATCAGGTAAAACTATTCTTTTCCTGTCCCGTGTTTTTCTTTATCCCATGCTTTTGTTTCTGATCTTAGCAGCGTTCTCCTTGGCATATGTATTGACACTCTTATTCCTCAAACCTTTTATCTATAGGAAGTGCTTGTCTGGCTGACACATCTTCAGAAGGAAGTTGGCAAAGATGTGTCAGATGAGAAGTTACGAGACTACATCTGGAACACACTCAACTCAGGGCGGGTAAGCTTGAGAAGTGGTCCTTAGAGAAGGAGCTCCCCCCGCCCATTAGTCTACCCCAGGGGTGGGCAAACTTTTTGACTCGAGGGCCACAATGGGTTCTTAAACTGGACCGGAGGGCCGGAACAAAAGCGTGGATGGAGTGTTTGTGTGAACTAATATAAATTCAAAGTAAACATCATTACATAAAAGGGTATGGTCTTTTTTTTTTTTTTTTTTTTTAGTTTTATTCATTTCAAACGGGCCGGATCCGGCCCGCGGGACGTAGTTTGCCCACGGCTGGTCTATCCTGAAGAATTTAGAAAAGAAGAATCTCCACCAGAGAATATAACTGGCTTTTCTCCCCCTCACTCTTTATAGGTTGTCCCAGGCTATGGCCATGCAGTACTGAGAAAGACTGACCCACGATACACGTGTCAGCGAGAGTTTGCTCTGAAACACCTGCCTAATGACCCCATGTTTAAGCTGGTTGCTCAGCTGTACAAGATTGTGCCCAATGTCCTCTTAGAGCAGGGCAAGGCCAAGAATCCTTGGCCCAATGTAGATGCTCACAGTGGGGTACTGCTCCAGGTGAGTCCTCTCTTCCCTGCTTTCCCTTTAGTTTTACCAAACACTACTGTTCCCTGCCACGCACAAAATCAATTCCCTGGTCAGAGCAGGGGCTCATATCTCTTTCCTTACCTTTTGATCACATTGCCTATGGTTGGGGAGGTATGGGCAGGAGGAAAGGATGCTCTCTTTTCAGAATCACAATTGCTATACTTTCCCCAGTGTCATTTCTGTTTAAGGCTGACTGGGTTAAGGTTTCTATAATCCTGGATTTGTAAATGCCACTACCTCTGGGCCTTTAACAAAACACTTTTCTCTTCTCCCTTACAGTACTATGGCATGACGGAGATGAATTACTACACAGTGCTGTTCGGGGTGTCACGAGCATTGGGTGTACTGGCACAGCTCATCTGGAGCCGAGCCCTGGGCTTCCCTCTAGAGAGGCCCAAGTCCATGAGCACGGATGGTCTGATGAAGTTTGTGGACTCTAAGTCAGGGTAAAACTGGAGACGGGGGAAACTAACTACCAGAAGTGAGGGAGCTTCAAAAAAAGTATACTTTTGTTTTGTTTCAGGGGGCTTGTAAAGACTTAAGTTGTATCTGAGGCACTGGTAATAAGTTTGAGGTTAAAATATAAATTAAGACTTTAAAAAATGAAAAGTGACCCCTCTTTCCCTAACCAGCTCCTTTCCCCTGACTGGTATGAGTTGCCCATCAACTTAGGACGACCAGGACTAATGCATGTGGTATGGGTTAGCTCTGGCCCCCACACCATCTCTAGAGTGAGAATCTGGCTCCTCTTTCCCTGGGTCACAGCTGATTGCAGAGAATCTGCAGTTACTTGTTCTGCCCAGTCCTCATGGGCCAGCACATCAGGACTCTGCCCCTTCTGTTTCCATAGGAATCATGTTGGATTATCAGCTGTACTAAGCCCTGTTGCCCTCTCCCATGTGCAGACACCTCCTGGCAAAACCTGTTGGTTGGCTGGACATGTTTGGGTAGTTTTTTTTTACGCCACCAGGTGACCATAAAGCCCATGGCACTTGTTGCTACTGGTACCCAGTGTCTGTTTCTTTCTTTTTAAAATTATCCCATAAAAATTAAGATCTGGGAGTGTTCTGTTCTCCACTACTTGAATACCTCCTTTGAGATTTTCTGTATGTGCTGGGCACCTCCAGCGGAGGGTGCTCTGGACCTTCTTCCCCTCTTTGTCCCTCCCAACTGGAGACCTTTCTGCGGATTGTAGAAACCAGTCTGAGATAGGGTCTTGCCCAGTCATTTGGCTTTATCAGTGCTTAAAATGAACTAAGTTTTTTAGCCATTACCCTCTGACTTTTTCTCCCTTTATTTTAGTATGCTGTGGGCCATAGACTAGGGATATAGGAATGACCAGCATGATACCTTCATGGTCTTGATCCCAGGGATACTGGCACCTTTTTCTGAGCAGGAAAATGCTTGAAGTTTGGACATGGTCTCCTTTGAATATCAGATCCTAGGGCTGAGGGCATTAAGAATGGTAAGCTTCCCTCCTCATCCCCTGCCACAAGGAAGTATCCCCTTATTTATCAAGGTCCTTACCTGCCTGCCCCATCCCCAAGAGCTCACAGTATAGTGTTGGTTTTAGAAGCCCCATCTGCACAGGTTTTCAGTGACTCAGAATGCTCTACTGCCTTTTCTTTAAGAAAGGACTGAAATACACTCCTGCTGTGCCTCCTTACTCCCTCACAACTCCTGCCTGTGTTTGTGTGGATCCCTAATCCCCAGAACCACGCTGTTCAGATGGACACACTGTCTATAAACCTGGGTAACTTGTCAAGTCATGATGCAGACTTCAGGTTGTTCTGTATAAAATGCAAAATAAATGTTTTTATTAACAATGCTTGAGCCTGCTATTATATAAGTCCTGGGAGAATCTATTATGAGGTAAGAAATCTGGCTGGCAAGATCCTGGACTTAAATGGGTTATAGGTTATCATGTAGATCTCTCTATTTTTAGGTAGGTTTGACATTTCCTTACCCTAATCTGAAGACAGGCTCCCTATGAGATTGCCAAAGGAGATTTCTGTCTTTTCTCAAGGTTAGAAGTCCTTGACCTTTAGCCGCCATCCTTCCTAATTTTGTTGTAAGGTAGAACACTCAAGGACTGTAGCTGAGACAGCTGATGGCAGAGAATTCGTCACAACTGCTGATGTGACGAATCCAAGGACACCGGTCCAGCCCACTAGGTGAAGGGAACAAGCTATGCCAAGGACAGATAGGAGTGGAACAGCTAGCTCAGGGGTGAACCACTAGCGTGCTCTGGTTCTTCATGGGATGCCTATTCTTCTTTGCAGCCTCCCATAGCTGTTCCTGAGGGCACCAGTTATATGGGAGGTCTGAGGCCAGATCATTCTATCCTGAGACTCCTGCTGCAACTGACCTTCTGAAAAAGTCTATTAATAGGCAAGGGAGTGGGTACTAGGTCCTGGCTTGTAGAATGAACTACTATAGTTAGCAAGGACACTATGTTCAAGAGGCCTGCGCCTTCACTCCCCTCGGAAGGAAGCCATGACTTTCGTCTACTCTGCTATATCTATCTTATTCTCTCAAACAATACCAAAAAGCCAAGCCCTGGCAAGGTAGCTTAGTTGGTTAGAGTGTTGTCCCAATATGCTAAAGTTGCAGGTTCCATCTCCGGTCAAGGGCACATACAGGAAACAACCAATGAATGCATAAATGGGTGGAGCAACAAATCAATGTCTGTCTTTCTCAAGTCAATAAATAATTTAAAAAGCCAAATTCACATTGTCACAATTAATTTATTGACATTTTATAAAAACTCAGGCCAAGTGGAAGAATACGGTATATCCCAAAAGTATAACTCTGTTCAGTGCTTTTTTTTTTTTTTTTTTCTTCTCACCCCGTGGCACTGATGATAAGAAAGCCCCAGGCTCTCCACTAGCATGGAAATATTCTTAGAAGTGAGGTGATGTGATTTTAAGCTGTGGCCAGAGCTCTAGCATCCCCTGAGGCATTTCAAGCAAGCAAAAGTAATTGACCATCCAGTTCCTCTGTGTAGAGGAAAAAGCTCAATTTATTCAATCCTTACGAAAAGTTGCTATTTTCCCTGGTCAGACACTAAGGTACCTTGACAGGGCTCAGGGATAACCACACAGTCCTAATTATAATTCAGTGTGAGAAGGCTGCAGGCATCAGGCTTATAGGGCTCTCAAGATGAGCCAGACCATTTCTTAGCATGTGTCCCTTCCATACCCTCTGCCTTTTCTTCCCCCAGCATTTCCAGCTAGCTTAGAGCCCGCTTTCTGGAGAACTGAGGGAAAACGGTATTATAAACACAGACTCTATCTCAGATTGGGGCAGGAGTCCATTGAAATAAATAAAAGAATTGGGTGGAGAGGGAGAGTCAAGGAGAAGCTAAGGAACAGTCTTTTGCCTCAACTGTGGTGCACCTCATGGAACATCAGTTCACGGGGTATGGCTGTTTCTGGACCAAACTTGGTGGCTGCCCGGCGCTCGAAGGCAGCAACATTCTTTTTGACAACCTCATCAAAAAACATGGAGGCCAGCTGGGAGTGCAGCAGAGAACGAAATTCAAAGGAAATCTGGGAATGGGTAAGAGACAGTCAGAAACTTCAAGATCATGTTGGGTAGTCCCTGGCCAAATGCAAGAACACTTATTCAGTGCCTTTTCTTCCCCTCCCCCGCCAGTTCCTTAGAGCCCCTCAAAAGCCCTAACTTAGGACTGAGCGCAATGTTCCAAGTTTGATAAAAGGTTAGATCTGTGGAAAGTGTCATTGACTTGGGAAGTCCCAAGTGCTAGCTGCATAAAGAATAACTGTCATGCCCAGCCGGCGTGGCTCAGTGGTTGAGCATCAACTTATGAACTAGTAGGTCACAGTTCAATTCCCATTCAGGGCACATGTCTGGATTCAGGCTCCATCCCGTGGGACATGCAGGAGGTGGCCAATCAATGATTCTCTCTCATCACTGATGTCTCTCTCTCTCTCCCACTTCCTTTCTCTCTGAAATCAATAAAAATATATTTAAAAAAATAACTATCACGTAGCCCTGGCCAGGTAGCTCAAGTGGTTAGAGCATTGTCCCAATATGCCAAGGTTACGGGTTCGATCTCCATCTGGTCAAGGCACATATAAGCAATCAATGCATACATAAATGGAACAACAAATCGGTGTCTCCAAAAAATCAATTAAAAATTAAAAAAAAATAACTTATTGTACCTCAGCTCTGGCCCCATACCTAGTTGTATCCCTGTGTCATACAGGCTCCTGACTCACCGAAAAGTCCACAGTGCAAGTTCGGGGGTAGGCAGGAATACCAGGACTGAATCGCCAAATGGTCTCTAAGTGATTGAAGAGCTTGCCATCAGTGCAAACAGCCTAGAATAGGGCAGTCAGGTAGTTAAACATACATACAATGGAATAAAATCTATAATAAGTATAGGAGACTACAAGAAGGAATTGAAAGTCATTTCCCTTCTAATATTTTATTAGGGAAGTATTTGAGACATGGAGATAAGATTATTACAAGAAGGGCCAAAATAGCCCTTGAATGTAAAAATGCTAGAGAACACAAAAAACTTCCTGATCAATCTGTCTCAGACAGACCTCACCTTGACCATGTGAGGTTTGACGGTGGAAACAGCAGAGGTATAACGTTCCATGACAGGTGGAAAGCCGACCTCCAACTGGGCCTTCAGGTGACCTTTACGGCTGGATACCACCAAAGACTTCTTACACCATGGCACAAACTCACAGTACTCCTGGACATTGGAAACCACCTCGAACATCTCCTGCATGGAGTATCTGGGGAAAGGAATCGGAGAGGCCAAGGAACTGCCAGCTGGTTCAGGCTTCTCCCTGCCCGTGGTGCACTCCCCCCAGTACCTTTGCCCACTAACCATGCACCTTCAGGAACTAGAGATCCCAAATAAGCCTGAATGAATGACTTCCCAAAAGCAAGTGTACAAATTTTCATGATGTTAATGTTACCTTATGTTTTACAGTTTAGTTAATGCTTTTAATACCTATTTTTATCTTAAAAGGGATCATCTAGGAAGAATAGAGGTTGTCAATCATACAAGGACTCAAATCCCAGCTCTACAACTTAATGTAGCCCTAGGTACATGATCTGTGCCTCAATTTTCTCACCTGCAAATCATAGGTAATAACAGTACCGAATTCATAGGTTTGTTGAAAGGATCAAATGAGAAAAATCTATGTAAAATACCTAAGCATCCTAACTGCTAGCAGTAGCAAGTGCTCAGTAAGCGTTAGCTATTTTATATTGTGCTCAGAATACATAAACTCAGGTCGGCAGAGAAATAATACCCTGTTGCCTTATGATACTGTCCAATTCTAGGCACATTTCACATTATGTACATGCAGGGCAATCAAGAAGGGGGGAGTTAAGGTTGGAAGGAGAGGATAAAGGATCAGCGATGGGCAGGGATGAATCTTGCTGCCCTCACATTCTAACCTGGACACGGTTACTTGTTTGGAGGGGAAGGGAATGTGGAGGGATGCTGGACAGGGGCGGATGCTCACCCCATGATCCTACGCTCGGAGTAAGCCTTTCTCTTGTTGGTGAAGGAGGCAGCAAAGCCCATGAAGGAACGGCTGGGAGGTAAGCCACCCTCCGCCGCCAAGACTTGGGCAGTCCTGGGTAAGAGGAGGCTGCAGGAAATCAGACATCTAAGCCCGAAAGGAAAGGAGAGACAAATGTCAGGTTTCTTTTGTGTTCAACCATTCCCAGGGGAAGGGGAAGAGGGCACATCCCAGAGGAAGGTCGTCCAGTCAACTTTTCCCCCAGCACCTGCTGCAGCCCGCCAGGCTCCCTGGCCAGACAGTCACGAGTGCAAAAGGTCGAGGGCGGCAGAGGACAGCGCCGCGGGAGGAGCCGGGAGAGCGCACGGTGCGTGCGAACTGCCCGTGGCCTCTGCCTGCGGGCTATGCTGCTGCTGAGAGCTGCGAAACTTCCTGGCTCCCGGGCCCCGCCAGGCCCGGGCACCCGCGACCACGAACTCCGCGAGGGGCAAGAGCTGGCTGGGGACCCCCCCTCCGGAGTAACTGGCGACCGTGTTCCCCAAAGCTGCGCATTGGACCCCGGGGTGTGGCCGCTGCCTCCCCGCGCCGCGCTAGCATCCCTGGGTTGCAGCCCTCCGCCGCGGAACCTCGGGGTCCTGAGCGACCCCCTCTCCGCCCGTGCGGCCGCCCGCGCCTCCCTCTCACCTCATTGGTCCCGGCGGTCGCGGAGGGCCCGGGGGCGGGGCCGGGCGCGCGCCCGGGCGGAGCGGGAGGCCGCAGCAGCGCTGGGCCGCCGCGCGCGTCCCGACCGGGAGCCGCCGCGCGCCTGCCGAGGCCATGCGCGCGACCCTCCCCAGCCCGCGGCTCTGACACCCGCGGCGCCCTCCTCACTCCAGAGGGCGCGGACGCCCGGCCGGTTCCGGGAGCGCGGGGGTGGCGCGGGGCAGCGGCTCCTCTCGCCGTGCTCCCGCCCGGGCAGCGGGGTGAGCTAGCACTGAAGCCGCGACCGCTGCTCCTGCAGCTCCCTGCACCCGCACGTCACGCGTTGCCATGGCTCGGGACGGGCGAGGGAGGAAGCAAGGAGACAAGCGGCTTGTCGGGAGATGTAGTTCCACCCTCTGGCAGGAGCCCCGGCGGGTGTGCGAGGCGCTGCGGACGTGGTCCCGTGGCGCAAAGTCGCCCGCCCACGACCTGGCCAGTCTCAGGCCACCCACCGGACACATAAGCGCCAGGATGACTTCGTGGGCGTGTCAACAGCAGATACCTGTTGATCTCTTAGAGCCTTTATCATATTCCACCTTGCTTATAGTTAGTTCCATAATCCTATTCATCTTTG